ACTGTTAGAGATTCCTTATATATAGAAGTATTTGTACCTCAAAGTTTAGTTTCATTTGCTTTTAAAAGATGGGGGAGATTTCAATGCTGTTGAGTACCATAGAGAAGAGGAATAGTTGATGGAGGAAGTGTATCCCTTCTGCTGTACATCCCCCTTTTCTCTAGTTAGATGTCTGTGGAAGGATGGAAATTGAGGCAACTTTTGCCTAGTGGCTTCTGTTTTCTCTCTGCATTAGGAACAGAGTTTTTGCACCACTGACAGTAATAGAGGAGACGGGGAATAGGGACTTTGAGCAAAATAGAGGAAGTCTGAAATAGCCAGCTTGGGAAATGGAAAGAATGCCATCTGGAGGAACAAAAGGGCGGTTACTATTCTGAATTCATGTTGAGTCTAGTTGAACTTAAAACAGTCACATACTAATGGGGGCGCCTCAGAGACCTTTTGTTTTTGCATGTCCCTGACCCCTCCCCTCTGGTATGCAGCTGATTGAAGGATGTAATTGTAGTAGTAGTGATTTTGGTGTGTTGTGATTTTTCTGCAGCAGTGTTCGTGCCACATCACCCCTCATACAAAATAAAACTATGGGTATTTAACAAAATTAGTTCAGCAGTGAAGAAGAGTCTCCATGCACATCGGTGGAGTTTATCTCTTAGTAAGCTAAGCAATAACTATCATCCATAGCTTCGCCTTCTTAAAGCACACAGGTACTCTGTGTCTCTAAGACCACCACTGTCCTGCGTGGCATAGACCAATGGAAGAGTCCACATCTAACAGTAGATTAATAATCCTAAAGATCTCATTGCACCTTGAGTGTTTTTTTAAAAGATCTAGAATAACATAGAAATCATTAGACTATAACCTGAACTTTAGAGATTTGAGAAGAGGCCATCCTGATGAGGGGCACCCGGTGGACCAGGCAGCTGCGGCACATAGTGTGAAGAGTCCTGGCGTGTCTAAGAGGTTCACTACAGCTGGAGGGGGCACTGAGAACGGGGAAGACTTTACAGATGGAACCTTAATGGGAAATTGAGCCAAATAGGCATCGGGAATAATTCAAGAGTTGCTTTGTCATAATAGGAAGTTTTAATTTTGTTCTGTTAGTGGCAGAGCAAGGCCAGTAACAGTTTATAAGCAAGAAAACAACAGAATAACTGGCTGTGTAGGTTTTTTTGTTTTATGAAGAAACTATATGATGCAGAAGGATGGAGTGTTGTCAGTCTGGAGGAAGGAGAAGCTGTTGGAAGGTTAATGTAAAAAATCAGCAAGCTTTGAGGGCTGGAACTAACTAAAGTTGTATTAACAGTGATGGACAGGAAGGAGTTCATCTCTAAGGAAACATGGTGATAAACTGGTTTGAGGAGAAGGAATTGAGATTGACCCCCTGGTCTATAACTTGTGTGAACAGGTGGACAGGTAAAATCCAACATGATTAATAACATAGAAAGGATCAGTCTACGAAGGACAGTATGAGCTCCATGTGGGTAAATTACCCAGGAAACTATTGGACATCCAGCAGGACATGAGGTATATGGGGTTGTGATAAAATTTTGGGAATCATTAGCATGTAATTAATAGTTAAAACCACTGGAGTGATGAGCTTGCCAGCAGAAATTCTTAACCTGGAATCCAAATAACCTGAAATTGCCAAAATGTTATCTGTGTGGCTTTTGGTTTGGGAAGTTCAGTCCTTTCATCAGATTCTCAAAAGGGAAAAACACTTGTTTCTTATGAACAGAGGGCGGAGAGGAGCAGTCTCAGCAAAGAAAGTAGGAAAGGAACAAGGACGGAGAGTGGTGACACTGGAGCCCAGAGCATGTCCCACCGTCACAGTAGGGCTGAGAGTTGGATGGCGTGGCAGTTAGGTTTGTAAACTTGTTCCTAACAAGGTGGAGGGAAGTGAATTTTTATTTAATGAAGCCCCCCACAGAAACACTGTGGTTTCTGGAATCGTAAGAAACAGACTTTAAAGCTAGACAGCTTCATCTCTTCACTGTTTTCTGGACACTTCATGGGAATCTTAGCTCCCAGCTTTTGCTCATGTTTGTCATCCTACGTTCCCATTAAACAAACTACGTCCGTTCTTCACGGTAGTTTGTCCTGCTCCTCTGTTCCGTTTTCTGGTTGTCTCAGCTACCTACATTGATTTTCCTCTTTATATTCCCATGGTATTGATTGTCTTATGTTGCTACATATTTCACGTACTATTGCCTTCTTTTTCCAGTGAGACTTTACTCCTAAATGCTAGTCATATATTTCATCACACCCCAAACTTTCATGCACTTACTGATACTATAATTTTGAATGAATTTAACTTAAGCCAACCATAGTGAGGGAAAATGTCTTTAAGAAAAAATTCATATGTTGTGTTCCAAATTATATAGGAGTGATTTATGGATAACTTTTTCATTTATATTTCATTTCTATAGGTAAATCAAGAGTTGATTACATATCAGAATAAGATACTGATATGGTACACAAGTTTAATAAGCTTTGGCATTTTAGATTATCAGACTAATTTGTTCTTAAGTCAATGTGATTTTTATGTGTACATTATCTTTTCAAAATGGAACATCTTTGGATTTTAAAAGTAAAGTATGCTTATAAAGTAAAAGACAAATCTAGAGTAGAAATAAAATATTACCAATATTTATATACTCTTTTTTCCAGTGGCACTGGTGTTTTATGAACTTATTTACTGCCCATAAATTAAGTATGTTTATAAATTTGTATGTTACGTGATTAACAGGCAAAACTCAATCACTTAAAATACAAGATTAAACAATCCAGTTATTTTGGAAATAAACTTCAGTGGCAGGGGCTTTTAGTTCTGCTGGATAGTAATTTAATCATCTGTATCTTTTTCTTTCATTGTTTGCTAGCAACATTTAGCATAAACAGGTAACCACACTATATGGAAAACTGTAGCAGAAAAAAAAAAAAAAAGGACCAGGCATTGCTTTATCCTAGCATCCCAAAAATTAAGAATTTAGAGTTCAAGGCAATAGATAGATTAGATTCTGCCAGTTGGCTCTCCTACCCACTTGGGTAAGCACATACCTGCTACCAATACTCCCGGGTTGTAATATAATAATTACCTGACAGGAAGGAGAAGTCCTGAAACCTTAGGGAGGCTCAGTTTGACACAGACTTAAATGTACTTCTAGGCTTTTTTCTTGGAACCACAATATATATTTCAACCAAAGTACGGTTTTTGCACATATCATCACACCCTAACTTAATCACATTTTTTAACAGGGAAAAAAGTAACTATTTTTCCAAAGGAAGCAAGTTATTTTAATTCATAAGGGTTACTTCTTGTTGAATAGAATACAGTAAAACGAAACTTACAGATGTAGGTAGCAGGATAAAATCGGCTTGCTCATGGGTGGGCGACTTGCTGCTGCACTGCCCGTTTGGTTCTCAGCCACGCGACGTGCCTTAGACCTTCCAGGCCCTTTGTCATTAATGAATTATGAATATTTTAAAACATCTGTCATAGACATCCTAACTTTATAATAAACCCTTTATTAAAATTTTCAGGGGAAAGCAAATGTAATTAATTAGTTTTTTCTATACCTATGAATGAAAATGATAATTAAAGCTGTCAAATGCAGTTTAATCCCTTTCCTATTTCAGAAGTCAATTTTATGAGCTAACTTTGCCCCCGGACACGTGGGTATATATTAATTATCCAGAGGGCAAAACAATACCATTACTGTGAGACTCAGAATTTGTTGTTCTGCACATTGAACTGCCTAATGTCAAAGTTAAACTTAATGAACATGTAATTGCCTGATTTTAAGGGAAGAAAACATTGTCAGGTCACTGAGGTGGAAAGACAGGGTTCTGGGAACCAGGAAGGCCAACAGTGGTCTGAGGGATAAATCACAATATTGTATCTTTGGTAGCTTGAAAACCTGTTGCTTCATCCCGTCAACAGGTGAGTCTAAGTAAGGTTAGCATTCTCTAAACAGAGCCGTCCAAAAAAAATTGAATGTAAGCTGCAGATGTCATTTTAAATGTTCTAGTAACTACCTTACAGTAAAAAAAAAAAAAAAAGTGAAACTGCTTTCAACAATGTATTTAATCTAATATGTCCAAAATACTACTTCAACTTATAATCAGTATTTTTAAATAGTTAAGAGATATTTTTGGCCAGGCATAGTGACTCACGCCTGTAATTCTAACACTCAGAGAGGCCCAGGTGGGTGGATTCCCTGAGTTCAAAGGTTTGAGACTAGCCTGAGCTAAAAATAGCCAGGTGTTGTGCTGGGCACCTGTAGTCCCAGCTACTCAGGAGGCTGAGGCAAGGGAATCACTTGAGCCCAAGTGTTTGAGGTTGCTGTGAGCTGTGATGTCATCACACTCTACTGAGGGCAAAAAAGTAAGACTCTCAAAAAAAAAAAAACCCAGGTATTTTTATGTTCTTTTTTTTTTGTATAAAGTCTTCAAAATTCAGTGTACATTATACTTAAAGTACATACCAATTCAATTCAGACTTAGCCACATATTAGGTTCTTAGTAGCTAACTGTGGCTAGTAATACCAGTATCTCTAGAACTTAGTGGATGTGTGTCTATGACATTGAGAAATAAAAGTTCCCTTGTGCCCAGTGTATGATACTAAGTGACAGACTTTAGAGAATGCCTTTATGCTGGCCAAGCAGGCCACTAACCTGGGTCACAAATAACTCTGGGACCATCTATTTCCATTTCCATGTCCATTGTTTAACTTAATCACTGTTAGTAAAATATTCGCAAATGTTAATACCTTTATCTTTATCCAGCTAAGACTCTTTAGCCTATTGTTAAACATATTATGACACATCTACCTTTACTTACATGATTTGAACTTCATCTATTAGGAATCTAAGACTCTTTACATATTCTGAACTGTTATTAAGAAAAATAGCAATGGATATCTTATTCTTTTAAGATATTTGATAATTTTCAATAACTGGGACTATCATAATCTGATTTGCATTTTCTTTTGTATTTTAAGGATATGGAATATTATCTTGTAAAATGGAAAGGATGGCCAGATTCTACAAATACTTGGGAACCTTTGCAAAATCTCAAGTGCCCGTTACTGCTTCGGCAATTCTCTAATGACAAGCATAAGTATTTATCTCAGGTAAAGAAAGGCAAAGCAATAACTCCAAAAGACAATAACAAAACTCTGAAACCTGCAGTTGCTGAGTACATTGTGAAGAAGGCTAAACAGAGGATAGCTCTGCAGAGATGGCAAGATGAACTGAACAGAAAAAAGAATCATAAAGGAATGATACTTGTTGAAAATACTGTTGACTTAGAGGGCCCACCTTCAGACTTCTACTACGTTAATGAATACAAACCAGCTCCTGGAATCAGCTTAGTTAACGAAGCTACGTTTGGTTGTTCATGCACGGATTGTTTCTTTGACAAATGTTGTCCTGCTGAAGCTGGAGTTCTTTTGGCTTATAATAAAAACCAACAAATTAAAATCCCACCTGGCACCCCCATCTATGAATGCAACTCAAGGTGTCAGTGTGGACCCGACTGCCCTAATAGGATTGTACAAAAAGGCACACAATATTCCCTTTGCATCTTTCGAACTAGCAATGGCCGTGGCTGGGGCGTAAAAACCCTTGTGAAAATTAAAAGAATGAGTTTTGTCATGGAATATGTTGGAGAGGTACATTTAACTTATCATATAGCAAATAATGTGCATGTAAGGTTTATACTTTTGAAAAGTTACCTTTTTACCTGAATAACAAATATTTAGTAAATTTTGATCGTATCAGTTGCAGGTACATAGAAACTCATTTTTACACTTAGATCTAGATAGGTTCACTGACATAGATGGAAATAAAATACTTAGGATCAAAAAATATATATAATGGCAAATTAAATTTATATAGTCATTGTTCAGTGAACACCTACTTAGTGTTTATTGAACACCTATCATTTGTAAGTTTTAAAATATGACGACAGTTTTTATATAAAAGTCCTAAGAAGAAAATCAGATCACACACCGACCTTGAAATTCCAACTCATCCATTTGGTCCAGTGTGGTTAAGTGGAGTTGCCAAAACCCTATTTCATATAAACATAAAAGATTTACAGGGTAGGACCTACCTACCCAGGAAGCCAATACTCTGTGAGCAAATATTGTAAAATATACACAAAAGCATTATAAGAAAACCAGGCTATTCCTAACTCAGATACTTGAACTGTAAAGACCATTCTCTAAATGACTATACAAATACTAGTAACTATACAAATCATATATATATAAAAGTAAAAAATAGTATTTATCACCACATAATGCCACATGTTTTAAGCATTTATGTATTAACTCACTAATGGTCTCCACAAGTGTATGAAGTGATACTACCATGTATTAATATCATCTCCATCATTATAGATGAAGAAACTGAGGCACAATGAAATTGCACAACTTGGCCAAGGTCACACAGGAGTGAGGAAGAGACAATATTCAAAACTCCAAAATTATGTTCCTCACCACTACATCACACTGCCTCACACTTGAAGGGTGGGCTAAGCTGTGACTAGAAAGATTACGAGTGTCTGCATATCTGGGGTTGTCAAAATCTGATTGGTTTCTTAAATTAGTTGAAATTGGATCACCTATAATAATTACCTGTATTCATCTGGAATTCTGAAATTAAATGAGATCCTGTTTGATTCTTATACTTTTACACAATGGCAGATTATTATAAATTACTATTCAGGATACTAGATCTTGTGCAGTCACTTTTTTTGGTTAATCAAATACTTTTTTATTTCATTCTTAATGAGTACAGCAGCCAAGTTTGACTGGTAACATGAATCACTTTAGACATCGTTGGTTTCTTAAGCTGAGCATGTGGTAAAGCTATGTTCTTAAGTGCATGAGCTGTACATGATGGTTTTAAACTAATTGAATTTCATGAAAACAGCCTATTCTACAAAACTTGATACACAGTTGACTAAAGATTTAACATAGACTCTCTCCTATATTTTTTTAACTTTTGTGTGTGTGTGTTATTTTTATTTATTTTGTTTTGTTTTGTTTGGGATTCATTTAGGGCATAAAGAATTAGGTTACACTGATTGCAAAACAGTCTCACTTGGTCACCCTCAATAGCATGCTGTGGTATCTTAGCTCATAGCAACCTCAATCTCGTGGGCTCAAGCAATCCTCTTGCCTCAGCCTCCTAAGTAGCTGTAACTACAGGCATCCATCATAATGCCCTGTTATTTATTTATTTTTTTGAGACAGAGCCTCAAGCTGTTCCCCTGGGTAGAGTGCCATGGCATCACAGCTCACAGCAACCTCTTAACTCCTGGGCTTAAGCGAGTCTCATGTCTCCGCCTCCCAAGTAGCTGGGATCACAGGCGCCCGCCACCACACCCAGCTATTTTTTGGTTGCAGCCATCGTTATTTGGTGGGCCCAGGCTGGATTTGAACCCGCCACCTTAGGTGCATGTGGCTGGCGCCTTAGCTGCTTGAGCCACAGGTGCCGAGCCATGCCCTGTTATTTTTAAGAGATGGGGGTCTCCCTGTTGCTCAGTCTGGTCTTGAACTCCTGAGCTCAAGCAATCCACCCGCCTCAGCCTCCCAGAGTGCTAGGATTACAGGTGTGAACCAATACCCCTATTTTTAACATTTCCATTTGTAACTGCATAGATTAATTGTAGGGAAGATAGGCCTTTCAAGTCTATTTAGAGCATATATACTTGCAAATGTGGTCCTTAACATTTAGTTTTGCCTGTAGAGAGAGCTCCAGTTGTATAGCTTTTTGAACATCCTAATTATAACAAAAGTAGCGTAGTATTTCAACTTACTATGTCAAATCCTATTTACTAAGCCATGAGTCTTTTGCATCATTTTTCCTCCTTCCATTTTCCCACTTAACATCTGGCTCTTAGTTTGTGTGAATGTTTGTTGTGATGACACTTGAATCTCTTACTTTCTAAACACTTGTAGGCATTGAGATATTAATAAGATTCATGGATGACTGTTTCTTTGGTTCAGCAGTAGCTACATAAATATACTATTGTTTTCTCTGTTTAGGTAATCACAAGTGAAGAAGCTGAAAGACGGGGGCAGTTATATGACAACAAAGGAATCACATACCTCTTTGATCTGGACTATGAATCTGATGAATTCACAGTGGATGCAGCTCGCTATGGAAATGTGTCTCATTTTGTGAATCACAGTGTAAGAAGAAATACTTAAACAATAGACAAGACTAATCAATTCAGTTTATACTAGCATTAATGATTTCCCATAGTTGAAAAATAGTTATCTTTAAACTACACATGTCTTTATCACAGCAGTTCTCATTCTGTGGGTCACAGCCCACAGGAACTGTATTAAAGGGCCACAGCATTAGGAAGGTTGAGAACCACTGCTGTAACATTTCCAAAGGACATATTTTAATATGTGGGTCCCTCTGTTAAGTCATGGTGTTATTGCTGGTATCTGGAGGTACCTGTCCAATACCATACAATTTGCAAGAGTCTTTACATACTGTGTTTCCCCGAAAATAAGACCTACCCAAAAAATAAGCCCTAGCAGGATTTCTATGCATTTGTTAAATATAAGCCCTACCCTGATAATAAGACCGAGTGATGGGCGTGGCTATGCACGCCCTCCCTTTCTGTGAGGAGCAGAGCAGTAAGGAAGACTGGAATACCTTTTATCTGCCACAGCTCCTTTCTCCCAGCCATTTGCACTTGCACAGGTGCGCATGTGGTAACCATGGCCGCAGGCATCCTTATTGCACATGTGCGAAGGGCTAGGACAAAGGAGTTCACGCATCACTAGCGCCAGCCCCACCAACAAGGTTGGTTCCCCTGTCAGGTTCCAGAAGAAGATGACTTAATTGTATTTGAATAAATGTAGATTGTTGTATTATACTTAATAAAAATAAGACATCCCCTGAAAATAAGCCCTAGTGTGTCTTCTTGAGAAAAAATAAATACAAGACAATGTCTTACTTTCAGGGAAACATCGTATGTTAATTCATTTAAACTTTCTAGTAACTTTATAAGATAGGTGTTATCTCCGTATCAGAGGAGGAAATTGGTAAGAAGAGGCATTAAGAGGTAAAATGTTTAAAAATCACATGCAACTACATAGGTATCTTACTAAATTTTAGGATATACAACTAAAAATAAATGTATTTTCTTAAGATACAAACATGTTAACATGTTTTATAAAATTTGAAGATTTATAGAGTATAGAATTGGGGCTGTTTGTCTAAATTATAAATTAGTATTGTTAGTGTTTGAGAAAACTTAGAATACGACTGGCTTAACTCCAGAATCTTAGACTCTACAAAATTATTTCCAAAAATAAGGAAGTTAATTTTGAGGTTCTACTTAATACTAGGTAGATGATATAACATTAGGCTTATGAGATTAACATTATCTCTACTTTATAGAGATTTTAAAGATAATAAGGAAAATGTGTTTCAGAGAGTTATTTAGATGACCATGTAAGGAAATACTCCATGTTAAACTTTTGATGGATTTCATACCAAGAAATTAGTTTACAATTAGCACTGAAATGGCAGACACATCCTGACTCCCTTGTTAGTTTTCTGATTTACAGAAAATTTTACCTTAAATAATTTTTTTCTTACTAGTAAATTTGAGATGCTCTCAAAATACATACATTGTATATGAGAACAATTAAACATTTATTTTGATTTCTTAGTATGATTCATTAGATCTCTCTTCTTGCATATTCCCTAAGTTAGTATAGTGTTCTCAAAATACTGAAGTTTACTCAATAGAGCTCTTTGCAATATGAAATTTGCTGATTTGATTGTTTAACTACAGTTAAACAATATGAATAGAACTCTCCATGAATATGAATAGAACTCTTTGCAGTATGAAATTTGCTGATTTCATTGTTTAAGTACAGTTATTTTAATTCTTTTAAGTGTATGATGTGCTGAAACAGAAGTAAAAATGATAATGTTATCTGGGATTTGCATTAAAATTATCTGGAGGAACAAAAAGTTCAGATGGGAAAACTTGTAATCATGGAAGCTACATAGTAGATACATAGGAATTTATTATGTCATTTTCTCCACTTGCATGCCTCAAAATTTTTTTTAAGTGAAAAAATGTGCATGCTTCAAAGACTTCTAAATAATAAGCAACTTAATTTCCAGCAGAACTTAAAATACTAATATGTTAGGAAAGTAAAATTTTTATATGGCAGGTAGGGTAGAAGAGCTCGTTCACATCATTTTTTATTTAAATGGGTTCTGATGTTCCTTTTTAGTGCGACCCAAATCTTCAGGTGTTCAATGTTTTCATTGATAACCTTGATACTCGCCTTCCCCGAATAGCATTGTTTTCTACAAGAACCATAAATCCTGGAGAAGAACTGACTTTTGATTATCAAATGAAAGGTATGGTTTTCAAGTACAGATTCATTGCTGTTAGTTTCAATATGAAAAATCAAATCAGACAGGAAAAGGCCTTAGATCATCTGAATCAAACTTAGATTAAAGATGAGAAAAATTGCATCTGTAAGTTTGTCTTAAGGTCTGAAGCCCATCTGACAGATAATGCTAAAACCCAAGGGTGCTTGACCTTGAGCTGAGGAGTGGTCTTTTGTGTACATCCACATTGCCTCCTGATTTTTTTCAGAACCTCCCTTTTTGAAAATTGCTTTATTATGTTTTTTTCTCAATACTATACTACTTGTATTTTTTTAAAAAGCTTACATTTCTGAGTATGTACTAAGAGATATTTATTCAAAAGATTGAAAAGATGATTTAAATCACATGAATCCTATTTCTACTTGGGTCAGACTTTTAAAAACAACATTAATTCTGTTTGCTTTATTGTCCCAGTCTAGATGTTTTCTTTCTTTTGTTTTTCTAAGAATGATGCCCTGTACTGTTACTATTTGACCTCACTTTATGTCCTTTTATGTAATGTTTGAAATGAATGATTGGACTTTCCTAGTAACTTCCATCATTTCAGAATCCATATTCACAAATAAGGGCTAAGAATGTAAACTTTATCTGCATAGTTTTATTAGCCCCTAGGGAGGTTTCAACCTTTCTTTTCCTCTGCCACACATTGGAAAAATAAGAGTTGTATTGAGCCATACATTAAATACACAAACACTAACAAAACTTGATTAGCCAAAAAAAAAAAAAAAAAAATTTCATGCATACTTTTCATAGCATCTGACACCACAGATAAGCCAATAAAGTCCTTACAAAATGTGGCTGTTGGGGAGCCACCCCCCAGCATGGACAACCCTGGTCACCATCCTTTCAAGATAATTCATCATGATTTGTCTCTGATACTCACATTTATTTATAAAGACAAGCTAACTTATACCTCCTGAGGAGTTAACTTACTCTAACAATTTTGAATATGGAGGCACCCTTGCTAGTTACTTATAGAGAATTCACAATTCAGTCTGCATTGTCTTTAAGTCTTTCTCCTTCATTTCTTTTTCTGTGTATTCAGGTTCTGGGGATATATCTTCAGATTCTATTGACCACAGCCCAGCCAAGAAGAGGGTCAGAACTGTCTGCAAGTGTGGAGCTGTGACTTGCAGAGGTTACCTCAACTGAAGTTTCAGGAAACAGAGCTGATGATAATTGTAGTTTTTCTAATGTTAACATTTAAAAAAATTATAAGTATTTGGGACTCTTTTTTATTTTCATATCAGCAAGATTATACCTATGTTAATTTACAAGCCGTGTCTCAAGACATTTGCCAAATGTATTACTGATGCTTCTGAAGAGAGGGCCAGTGGGCCACACAGACTGATATTTAGTGCTTAGAGACCAAACACAAAAGCAAACTATTTACGGGTCAGCATATGCATATTTCAAGAGTCTGTCAATAGAGATATGCCTCCTTCAGTATTTGAAAAGTGTTAAACTGATAATGTAAGAATTGCTAAGGTCAGACATTCAACTTGCCATTTACCTCAAATTTGCAGAAAGAGTTGATTCAGTTTGAGAAAATATGCAAATTCCATTTTTTTATCACAGTGTAATTCCTATTTAATACTCATTGTACTTGTGTTTGAGACAAATAGATGATACTGAATTTTATACTCTTTTCTACTTCATTAAAATATTGGCATCTTAATGATAACAGAAATTTAAGATTTAAAATTAAATGTAAAAAAATTTAATTTCAGCTTGATCTCATATTTTGAAGCAATCTACACCATTATGAGGGGTGTTTATGTGAACTAATAATTCCTGTAGAAGAAAAATCTCCAAAAACTTATCTCTGAAAGTCCGGAATGGCTGGCTGTTATGCTTCTTTGGAAGGACAGGACATTGGGACCAGGAGGGTTTTTTGGAGGACTGGCCAGGGAAAATGGAGCACTTAGGGCGCCTTTTAGTAGCATGAATTACGAGAAGCATGTTGAGTACCTCTGGTATAAACAGTCAAACAAGATACCGGAGAGAGCTGCTGTCCCTATTAATGTAATGTACAGTAACGGTACGTCTTTTCAATTTCAGGCAGTTTTAACATTTCTCCTTCCCACCAAATTTAATTATTTTTGTATTTCCTGCAGGCTTTTCCTAAAAAATAATCTATATTTTGAACTGATACTTGTTTTATACATGAATTTTTTAAATGTGATAAAGCTAAACTGGCCAAAGCATGTGCCTGAACTATGAGATCTTTTATTTGTTGACCTATGAAGGCTGAAATGGAATTATTAGTTTTGTGGGTGGTGTTCTTTTCTTTTCCCCCTGCATAGTTCAAGACTTCAATCAGGAAAAACTGTGTTGTCATCTCTTTCTAATTCTGGGATTCCAGATCATGGTGTTCAGCATGAAGGTAAATGAAGCAAATAAATCTAGCTTTCAGTATTCCTAATTAAGTTCGACCTAAGCTCACTGCTCTGGGCTTTGATGGCTGAAAATAAGCTTAGGTACAATAGAGCTGACTTCATGAATGTGGCACTTCTAAATCATCTTACTCCTTAACCCCTTTGGGGGGAGAAGCTATTCTTTTGTTCATTATCTTACCATCACGTGACTTTGTTCTTTCATAATAGAGGATAAATTGTTTACATGTCTGGAGCCTTAGAGTATATCTGCTAGCCAAAATTTGCAGAATATCTCAAGGAAAAATACACTTTTTAATGGCATTCTTGTGTTTTCTTTATGAAAAATTAGTATCAGCGGTGGGGTAAAAAAGGGTCACAGGTTTACATGTTGCCCCAGTGGCTGAGCCTGCTTTGAATTATTCTCGTGGTTTAAAGATGTAATATTTTGAAATCAGTGTTTTACTCTCTAGTTATTTGAACTTGTTGACTTTTGTTAAAAATGTAAACCTGGAAGGCAAAGGGAAAAAGACTATTTTCAGTAAACTTGTAGTTTTGTCCTCATTAATAGAAATTGAATGGGCTTTTGGGATCTGAAGTAAGTGACTTATGTTACCTTTGTTATTAAAAATCTGAACTTTGGTGAAGCTGAACATCTTTCCTAAAAAAAACCAAAAAAGCTGAATTTAGGGAGTAAACTATTAATAGAGATTATTTAAATGAAGCTGTTAAGGGCTTTAACTATTAAGTCAACATTTGGCTTATTCAAGTTAGTTTCCTGAAGATGTCAGAATTTGTTTTTTTGATACGAAGCAAATATTCAAAAGGTAATAACAGATCAAGTTTAAAATGTAAACCCACTGTATAAGTGGTATTGTTAATACCATCATTTCCAGTATTGTGATACACAATTAGTAATCTCAGGGTTTTTCTCCACATCTTTAATATCTAGACTGCACTTATTTCTCTTTTAGTTCAACAGTTTCTCCTTAGCAAAATAAATTTAGTTTATCATTTGATGCTCTCATGGCTTATCTTTATTTGACTAATTGTACAGTCGTTTTCAGTACAGCTGCGTAAGGGGCAGCAGAGCACTGATGTATTCCTGATTCCTGACCAGGTTTACCCAAGCTGTACATACAGTTCTTTGAAATGTCACTTTCCTTTTAAGAAAGCTTGTCTTCATGGTCTACACATTCAGATACAAAGTACCGTCATGCATTTCGTCAGCATATTGTGGATGGACACTTCTGAAGTTGGAGCACCACTGGTCATCAGGTACTTAAATATCCTGTGCTAAGTGCTGTGTGGGAATTCAAAGGGATTTTTTAATTTGGAGCTAATACTGAGCAAGCCCTTTATTCATGTACTTCTTAGGATTCTGGAGAGGTAAGTGCTATCGTCCTATATTACATCTAAGGTAATAGGCTTAGACTGGTTAGGTAACGTTAACATGTGCTCAACATCACCCAGATAATAAGCCATAAACTATACCTACTGTAAAAATATATAATCTTCAACTTTGGGCAGACTTTTTAAAAACTCAGTTTCTGGAACTCCTCTCAAGGCACATGTGGCTGGGCACTGGGTTTCTTCTGTGCTATATCTTGGCATTTTGAAACTATTTTATCACATTTCCTTTTAAATTTATAGGGGCTTTGGAATTTTTTTGAGACTTGCACTGTCATCCAGGTTGGAGCACAGTAGCATGATCACAACTCACCGTAACCTGACTCCTGGACTCAAGCAATCCTCCTGCCTCAGCCTCCTGAATTCCTGGGACCACAGATGGGGACCACCAGGTCTGGCAAATTTTTTCTTATTTTGTACAGACAGGATCTCAAAGTCCTGGCCTCAAGCAGGCCTACTGCTTTGGCCTCCCAAGGTGGTAGGATTACAGGCCTGAACTACTGCACTTGGCCTATAATTTATAGGCCTTGAAGTAAAAATCAAGTAGCCATGACAGTTAATCCTGGCCTTTTTGAGAGGCACTGTAACACGGTGGTGAAGAACATGAACTCTGAAGCCAGATGGCATGTGTTTGAGGCCTCACTTTGTTCTGTACTAGGTTTCTGAGCCTTCTGTGCCTCAGCCTCCTCAAGTGCACTTGGGAGGAGGAAATGTATCTACCTCCAAGGGTGGTCATGAGGGGCAATGGAGGTAACATGGTGTATGAAAAACCAAAAGCATTATTAGAGGAAGCACCGCATATCAGTATTAGCTGCTAGCACTCTGTATCTAAACCTTTGAAAATTTCTGGTGATCACTACAAGTTTGTTGATCAAAATTTGTTATGGTGCTGTTAGCCCTTAAATTCATTCAGCTAGCCTTTATAATGCCAGACTCACACATAACAATAATGAAAATGTGGCAATGTGTAGATTAAATTGATGGTATGATTATAAAATGCTAGGAATATGTTTGGAAGAATGTTTGCAGGCATTTTTTGAACACCCGCAATGGATCATAAGGTACACTGGTAAAACTAAGTCTTAAATATCAGTAAATATATACTAACATACTAACATAATATATACTAACATACATTATTACATATACGCTAACTCTGAGTCCTGTTATCCTAATTATAGTGTAGTGGATCCAGTACTTTTTGGTCAAATTATCATGCAGCGCGGTGGCAAATGCTCATGATTATGTGTCAGTTTAATCTGCAAATTGTATCTTACAGACTCCATTTAAACGTGTTTTGAGTGATTTCTGCCTCCTTAATCTATGAAATGTCAGCATATCAAAGCATTTATGAATATAGTTAAGACTTTATATAGCCGGGCGTTGTGGCGGGCGCCTGTGGTCCCAGCTACTTGGG